TAACACCTTCCGTTTCAAAAAATGTTACATGGGGGCACCTCACCTGCTGTGTTTTCATTTGTGTGCATGTAGACTTCATCGGCTGTTCATACGTGGCTTCTTTGGTGCTGTCCACTGGAAGGCCGCTTGGATTGGTCATTGCCTGTCTACCGTACGTACCCTTCAGCTACGCGCTTCAGAGAAAAACGACGACACTGCGAAACGTGACAGTGGGTTGCTCATCAGACAGTCTACAAATAAAAAAACACAATACATTTACAATCATTTCAAAATATGAATGCAAATGTGTATAAATTACCCAAGCACTAACAGGAAGACTAAAAACAGTTGTAAGAAAGGCCAGAGGCCTCTGGAAGACGGAGATGATTTAGGTCTTGGACGCTTTCCTGTGATCATGAACGGATGAAAGCTTTTGGAGACGATTATAAAATCATAATTATATAATCAACTACGACTGAGAAACAGCGCATATAAACGAACGCCTAAATTATTCTATCTTTTGAGGTGGTAGTAACGTGTCAGAAAAGTTTCTGCTACAGTCGCAGGCACAAGACAAAATTCATCCCGATAACAAAGAGAAAGAAGGCAGAGGAGGAACATTTTGCAAAATAATTTTTTAAAGGAGGCCATGATGCTTGCGGCTACTTCGTCTGTCCCCTGCACCAAGAACAGTAAGTAGCCGAACCTTTCGCAATGCCATACTATAATTCGAGTTAGTACTATCAATTGTAGGAAGCTAGTTAATTTCATAAGCAGATTGCGGTAATCAGAAAGTGTTTAATGTGAGAATTTTTTGGCAACAATAACATTGTCACCACTAGTTCAGTGATGAAGGAACATAAACAATGATATCTTTTAATTGTCAATTTAAAAGTTGATGCATAAAAAGTTACGAAGATGAATCTGTTGGTGGCCGGTCATAAGATCCAGAAAATCTGCCCATTGCATCCATACCGCTATCAACTGTTGCCTGATCATATATACAACTGAACAATTATTCCCATGTTTAAGCTTTGTTTCTAACAGGGGGACAACGATTTAGTGTTTATGGATATATCTGATAGAGATTGTATAGGAGGCATCGACTAAACTCGCCAACACCATCGCAGTCTCAGTTCAGCTTTCAATCATTCAGTTTTGTCATTACTTGATAAAAAAGGAATTACCAGAGAACCCGAGTAAAATAATTATACTGAAAATTATAGAATTTACGATATTATAACAAATATGGCTCGTTCATCACTCCCAACTGAGCTCCATTCAGCAAGAGATCGAAGCATATGACTTCTCCGCAGCGTCGTTCTACAATTCGTCGAAAAATACGTCAAGTGAAAAGAGCAGGAGACATCGGTCTACTCTTCATATATGTATCCGCTCAGAAAGTAATTAGCGCAGTCGTACCTCATCCTCTACGTGAATATGACGATCGCGATTATGTCGATGACGGGAATGATGATAATGTAATGGCAATAATCGCGATAATAACTATGACTATAATAGCGATGATGAATAAAAACGATCACAATGATGCTGACGATCAGATTATAATGATCGGGATTAATAACCATCATGGCCATCATAATAATGATGAAACGATGATTATGATGATAAAGATGACGACAAAATGAAACTGATAAGAATGATGATATCGTTATGATAAATTTTCATAGAGGAATTGTTAACTTTTTAATTTTAATATAATTTTCTACTTCCATCTTACACTGAAGCCTC